CAGGACTCCGTCTGGGAAGGGACCCACCACCCACCCACCGCCTGTCCCCTCCCTCTCCCTCGGGAAGCCCCCCAGACACAGCAGGAGCCAAGGGCCAAGAGGTGCCCCAGAGGTGACCCTGGGCAGTGACTCCCTGAGCCTTGGTTTTTTCCTCTGTGAAATGGGGATGCCGAAGACCACGCTGGGAGGATAAGGACCAGATGAGACAGCCCCGGGCCGCTGGCGTTCCCTCCAACCTCCTCACCTTCCCCCTTGAGATGACGGGGACTGGAAGTCAGGACCTTTTTTCCCCTGTGCCAGGGGGTCTGGAATGCAGCTAGGCTAGTTTCCGGGGCAGTTGAAAGCCAGCAGCCCCGTCTGGAGGGACCAGAACTGCGGGAGGATTTGTGTCAAGGCTACCAGCTGCCCTCTGCCCACACGGCAGTGAAGGAAGTGGGCACCAGGTTACATCCATCTTACAGATGAGAAAAATGAGGCTCAGTAAAGGAAGTGGCTCCCAAGAAGCCCCAGAGCTTGGCAGAGAGGGTCCTGGTAGCCTGAGACCCTATTCTCAGGCTCCTCTTCCGTACAGGGACAGAGTTTGGACTAGGTCACTTAAGCTCCAATGCCCTAGATCAACCAGCAAGGTCCAGGAGACGGGGAGTGGTCTCTGCCCAGCCCCTTCCCAACCCCAACCCAGGCAGTTCTCAGGACATTTACCTTCCAGCCATTGGGGCTCCCATGTCCTGGGGGAGGGCTGCCCCGGAGCTGCCAGATTCCTCAGGGACAGACACCAGTGAGTGGCAGCCTGAATGGATCAACTAGGGGCCCTTTCCTCTAAAGAAACCACCCCCTCTGGGGCTTCCCCCAAGGAGTGGCTGGAGCTGCGAGGCGGGGAAGTGAGGGCCGCAGCCCCCACGTGGGTGTGTCCAGGGCTCTCCCGGACCCAGCCGAAACAGGTGCCTCAACTCCCAGACCAGGGCTTCCTGCTGCCGCTAAGCTTCTGCATGGGGCCTGGGGGAGGCTAAGAAAGAAGGGCAGGCTCTAAATTCAAGCCAGCAAGGGGTCTCCTGGCATTGGATGTGTGCCCATGCCGTGCCAGGCGCAGGGTGGGCGGGAGAGGGGGGATAGTCCCACCCCACCCCCAGAGGCCAGGGGCTGACCCAGATGAGAGTGGGCAGGAGAGAAGACAGAAGGGTTCAGAGGCCTGAGGACCACAGAAATGATCTTTGCTGAAGGAAATTATCCCTTAAGGGAAAGATGTTCATCACACTGCTAATTTTAAAAGCAAAAAGGTGTGAAATAACCTTAATGCCCATGACAGAAGATTCACGAGCAAATCCAGGTTCGTCCACTCAAGAACCTTAAAAAGCCGGTAAGACAGGATTATGAACAAGGAGAGTCATACCAGCTTTATTCTTTTAGCCCAAAACTGAAAATAGCCTGTCCAGGAGGGAGAAATTTCCCCTTACCCTTCTTGGTTATTTTGGCTGGTCTAATAGTTAAATTGACACAAGACAGATTAACAGAAGGAAAAAAAAAACAAATTGAATTTCTTACATACATAGGTCTCATAGATATGGGACCCAAAGAAATGACCAAAGCAGGCAGCTTTTATGCTTTTTAGACAAAGAAACAACAAATTTGTGAAGAACTGACAAGACAAAGAAACTTAGGCTTGGGTACTCATTAGCGAAGAAACTAGGCAGAGTTTGTTACACAGCCTTCTTGCCTGGAATTCCCCATCTCTGGTGATAAGGCTATCTCTCTACCTCCTGGTGCAGGAAGGGTATATTCCACATGGGAGATTTATTTCCTGCTTTCAGGGGGACAGAGAGGAGGGTCAGAGTGCCCTTCTTGCATTCACTGTTTCTCAAGTAACTTTAATTCAGCAATAATCAATCTGCCACTTTGGCATATTTGGGGGTGGCTCGCCCCGAGCTTCGTGAAACCCAACCACCCATCAAAGGATGGAACTTAACACACACAGCAACAAAAAGAGAACAAGCCACTAGAAAACACAGCACGGATGAGCCTCATAGATGTACTGAGTAAAAGAAGCCAGAAAAAAGCACTTAATATATGGTTCTCTTTCCATGAAACTCTAGGAAAGATTAATCTACAGTCACAGAAAGACGATTAGTGGTTTCTTAGGGATGGGGGAGGAGTATTGACTGGGAAGGGGCACCAATATACTTCTTGGAGGATGGAAATGTTCTATGTCTTGATTGGGGGGCCACTGGGTGGTACAGTTGTCAATACTCATCAATCTACACACTTAAAATGGGTTCATTTTACTGTGTGTAGATTGTCCCTCAATAAAGCTGACTTTAAAGGAAAAAAAAAAAAAAAAAGCCAGAAACAAGAGCAGGATTCCATTCGAGAGGTTCAAGGGCGGGAAAATCTAATCCACAATGACAGAAATCAGAGTGACAGGACCTCAGGAGGGTGGGCGTGACTGGGAAGGAATACTTGGGATTTTCTGGGGGTGATCAGAAGCTTCTTTCTTGATCTGAGCCGTGATTCCTGGGTGCCCACAGAATTTTATTCATTGAGCCGCACCTTTAAGATGTTACTGAGCTCAGGTCTGGCTGCTCCGAAGCTTGAAAGCCAATACTCAAGAAACAAGTGTTGGTAGGAAAGGAAAGGCTGCTTCATACAGGAGGCCAGCAACCTGGGGGAGAAGGCGGACTTGTGCCCAAAAGCCAACTCCGCCTGCCGATCAGAGCCTTTAAAGGGGAGTTTCAGGGGTGTACAGGCAAAGGGAAGGGTCTACATGCAGAAACAGCACAGTCAGCTCCGACAGTCGTCTTGAAATTGGTCTTGCGGTGCTCTGATCAGCGTCATCTTGTTTTAAGTACTGTTTAATCATCAGTTCCAGGGTTGGTTTGTGCCCATTTCTTTGAGGCCAATTCTTGGAATGGAGATGGAGCAGCTTACGTCATGGCTACAGTGTGGTCATCATGGAGTTAACTCTTTCCACCTAGTGGGGGTTTCAGTATTGGCAAAACAGCTCAAAGGGTATGACTCAGAATATTATTCATAGCCTTTGAGGAGGAACTAAAAGTCCTTGACTTTGTTTAATGACTAAACTTTATTATTTTGTCCTGTTTGCTTTTCTTTGCTTCTGCATTTTTTTTCACTTCTCTGATTAAAATTTATTCTATGGATAAAGTTTTCCTACAGACAAAAGGCAGGTGGAAGACATGGAGGGGGCAGTCTGTCCTGGGAAGGTCCCACGGGCTCCTGCTCGGTTTTGATGTGTTACATCTCAATTTTCAAAATATGGTCATGAGGACGATGCAACATTACAGCCAGAGTCACCACTTACTGGGTGTGCCTGAGTCCAAAGACTATACCCTTGACAGCAAGAAAATGCTTAAAACACAGTGTGAAGTGGTCACACAATCAGATGCACACTCAATGGGCAAACACACAAAACAGACACACTAAGATTCCAGCAGGGCGAGGCTGTTGGCAATGGATGTGGCTTTCCCACATCTCTGTTTTCTCTATTCTAATATATGTGGTTACATTTTGATGATTATAAAAGAGAACTGTAACAACTTTTTTAAACACTTTGCTATTTTGATAGCTAAAATTTGGAAATAACCCAAATGTTCAACGACAAAGAATCGGTTGTAAAATATATGTGGCACATCCATTCAGCAGAATAGGGTCTGATTCAGCCTCCTCCATCTGAAAAAGTCCAAAGGGAGAGCTGGAACTAGTAATTCCGTTTTGTTGTTTTTGTTGTGTGGTGTGTGCGTGTGTGGTTTGCGTTTTTGTTTGGTGGGTTGGTTTTTTTGTTGGTGGCGGTGGTGGTTTTTTTGTTTTGTTTTAAGAATGGGCTTCCAGGGCTTCCCTGATGGCGCAGTGGTTAAGAATCTGCCTGCCAATGCAGGGGACACGGGTTCGAGTCCTGGTCTGGGAGGATCCCACATGCCGCGGAGCAACTGGGCCCGTGAACCACAACTACTGAGCTTGCGCGTCTGAAGCCTGTGCTCCGCAACGGGAGAGGCCGTGACAATGAGAGGCCCGCTCGCCGCAATTGGAGAAAGCCCTCGCACAGAAACGAAGACCCAACGCAGCCAAAAATAAATTAATTAATTAAAAAAAAAAAAAAAAAGAATGGGCTTCCAGAGAATTTTCAGGTTCTGCTTTTTTTATTTTTAAGTGCTATCTTATTACCTGGATGATTCGCTACAAGCCCAAGTCACTTCTGCAATTAGACATAGGGAAAATACCAGTCTCGCCCATGGAATCGCC